TTAAAAAGTTATATTTTACCCTTTTTCTCTTTTTTAAATATGTTTTTATGTTTTTATTACTATGGAGTGATAATAGTTAATTTCAGCAATGGTCTCCCGAGTATGATGATTTTTCAGATTTGATCCCCGTCCTTTAATTTGGACAATTTAACCACCCGTCTATTAATTTTTTTTCCAATTGAGGTCCTTCCGTCAATGAGTGGTTAAATCCGCGTCAATTTCAGGGGCATATTGGTACTTTTACTTACTATGCGTATTTCTCCCCATCTATACGTGAAATAAAATAAAAAAAAAATACTCATCTTATACGAGAAATACTCAAATACCCATCTTATTCTCTAAAATCCCCACATTTGCCCAACCCTAATCGCAGAGAAAGAAGAATCTCGAGGGAAGGAAGCAAGCTAGGTAATGAAAATCCCCAAATTTCCCCATTTTAAACCATAATCGCAGTCGCTGAGAAGCTTGGGAGAGAACGAACGAAGAACATTGATGGAATCGAGAGGGAAGCAAGCTAGCGTTGGTCGCAACTCTGCTCCAGCAGGTAAGTTTGGTTCCCCGACTTGTTTTTATGGTGTAGGAGAACGAAATGGTACATGTGGGGTCCGAATGTTTGTGTTGTGTTGTTTAGTAAATAATTTCTGTGTTGTCTGTTGTATATGATGCTTAGTATAGGTACATGTGAGGACTTTTTTTGTGGTTGAAAATGGTGTGTGGACCAATGTTTGTCTGATTATGCATATGTTGGGGACTATTGTTGTTGTTTTTTTTTTTTTCTAAAGCATTTACTGTAAAGTGGACTTCCATGTTGTATGCATTACAGTGGACCATTATATGTTGTCTAAAGTGCATTGGAAATTTGAATCATTGATTTCAGGGATTTTTACTCTTAAACTAAGACATGGAGGAATGATAAGTCAAGATTTACCAGCTAAATATTTAGGAGACAGTGTTAGTGTATTTAATGATATGATAGAAGATGAGTGTGGGTTAATGTGTTTAAAGGAGAAGGTAGGGGAGATTGGTTATGCAATGGATGATAGTTTGAGGTACTTCATGGTCAGAAATGGGGTTGCAAGAATTGGTTAAAGACTTTGATCTTTGGAATTTACTTAACCAATGTTGTAGTCCTAAGGTCTTAGAAATCTGGATGGTAAAAGGAGGGTTTGGTGATGATGCAGATGTTGGCAGTGCAAATGAAGAGGAGTATGATGGCAGTGGGTCTGAGTGGTGTGGCAGTGGAGATGAATGGGATGGTACTGATGAGGAATACAATTCAGATGAGTTAGAGGATATAAGTGTGCATGATGATGAAGAATTTGTCAAAAATATAGATATTACTGCAGAGTTTGGAGACTTAGGTCATGTACAACCCCAACTCCCACAACCCATACAACCCCCACCAGTAGATGATATTGTCAACTACTCTGATGAAGGGAACATGGTAGGCAGTGATGGTGAGGGTTTATGGATCAAATGGCAAAAGTTTTTGAAAGAATCTGAACATACTTGTCCTAAATTTGAGTTGGGACTGACCTTTAAAGATAAAGGGGAGTTTAGAGAAGTTATAACAAATTATGCAATCAAGGAGGGGAAGGAAATGAAATATCACAAAAATGACAAAGTTAGATGTGTGGTGAAGTGCAAGCATGAAAGCTGTCCTTGGCAGGTTACCCTTATGTTTAATAAATATGATAAATGTTGGAGGGTAACTGTGGTAAAGGACAAACATGATGGCTGTGTAAGGTGAGAACGAAGACTCTTGGACTTGGTTTCTACAGTTTCTAAAGAAAGATTTGAAGATTGGTCCCTTAGTACAGAGTGAGTACACACTAATGTCAGACAAGCAAAAGGGCATCATACAAGCTTGTGAAAGTACCTTACAAGGAGTTAGGCATAGATTTTGTGTCAGACACTTGCACAATAACATGAGGGTGGATGGTTGCACTGCAAATGCTATAAAGGATGCCTTGTGGAAAGCAGCAAGAGCCACAACTCTGAATAACTTTTCAACAGCATTACTTGAGTTAAGAAAATTGGATGAAAATGCTTATGTTTGGCTTGGTGATAAGCACCCATCTGAGTGGTCTAGATCCCACTTCACTACAGCTGCCAATTGTGACATCCTAGTGAATAACATCTCAGAATCATTCAATGCAATGATTTTGACAACAAGGGAAAGTCCTGTTATTAATTGCTTGGAAATAATTAGGAAAAAGATCATGCTAAGGCTATTTGAGTCAAGGACTAAAGCTGCTGAATGGACTGGATTACTTTGTCTAACTATTGTGAAAAAAATTGATGACATTGAGATAGATGCAGGTGGAATGATTGGCTATCAGTGTGCTCCCATGTTGTTTGAGATAATTGGGACACATACTGGGCAGTATACTGTTGATCTAGGTAGAAGATCTTGTTCCTGTAGGAAATGGGACCTAACTGGAATCCCTTGCCCCCATGCTGTGTGTGCAATATGGATGAAAAGTGGGAAAGGACCTATTTGGCATTATGTGGATCCTTGCTACTCAATTTCCACATACTGCCAAACATATGATGGATGTATAAAACCAATGTCAGGTCATGAAGAGTGGCATGCAACAAGTAGACCACCTCATTTGCCACCAGTGTATAATGCAAGGCCTGGAAGGCCTAGAAAGCTGAGGATGAAGTCTGCAGGAGAGATAAGTAAATGTGGGCAGTATTTGTCAAGGAGCCTTGTTAGTTTACACTGCACCAAATGCAAAAAGAATTGGGTCATAACCAAAGAAAGTGTCCAAAATACCCAGTTGCCAGGCCTGCCAATCAGGTTAGATACTTTCAAATTTGACTTTAAATTTGTCTTAACTTGCTGTGGGAAATAACATAATCAATTTGCAGGTCAAAAGAAGAAAATCAAGTTGTAGGTCAAAAGGAGTACATGCTGCTGTTACAAATGAAGTTGCTGCTCAGCCCCAATTCCATGATGCTGCTCAGTCCCAAGTCCATGAAGCTGCTCAGCCCCAAGTCCATGATGCTGCTCAGTCCCAAGTCCATGATGCTGCTAAGCCATCTGTAATTATTGAATTTGATGTAATTACTCAACCTGAAATTCAAGAGACTCAATGGGAGATACCAGATGAAATTTTGGATGAACAATGGCACCAAATCCAAATTGAGGCAGCTGACACTGTTAGAGGTATGTTATACTACTTATCCATGTGCCATCTAAATGCAAATATTTGACTCTTATGTATTGTAGGGCCTTCACTAAGTTTCAGCCTGTCTATTCCAGTCAGTGTTGTGGGAGAATCAATGCATGCAAATGTGCCTTGTAAGTTATACTACCAGTCCATTCATGTGCACTTACAATTTCAAAACAAAACTTATAATTTCATCTAATCTATTACTATGTGCAGATCAACAACACAATAAAACTGATGGAAACCACCAAGTAACAGGAAAAAGAAAAGGTCAAAGTGATGGAACCAAGTCTACTAGGAAGAAATTACCAATCAAGAAGCATCGTACAAGATCAACAACCACATTGAAGTCTAAATTCTATGGGAATGACAAAGATCCAATCACTTTGGATTAAGTGAACCACTATAATTAATGCTTTTTTGGATTAGTGACTTTTATGAATTGTTAGGTCACTATTTGGCATGTGTTAATGTATGCTTAGACAATTGCCTTTTGATTTGTAATGGGATTTATATACCAAATATGATGTGTTTTGGGGTCTACAGACCTTTAGATATGTAATGGGATCTATCTACTATGTTTTGAAATACATTTGTCAGATTATGACATACAGATCAATGATACAGATGATCTTGTTTATATAATATTTTTGTTATAAATGGTATTTGGCCTTCAGATTGCAATATGCAGTGTGCAAATATGGTATGCATTTTCAGATTGCATTATGCATTGTCAGAAGCAGTTTAATACACAAAACTATAACTGAATTTTGATTGCATTGTGCTTAGACTTACAATTGTCAAATTACAAATACAATTCTTCAATAAGCAGAACTACTAGCTAACATAAGGTTATTCTTTCCTCTAGCTACGTTCACAGCTATAACTACAAATAACACTACAAAAAACACAATGCATACTGCTATAACTACACAAATCCTAATACCCTTGCCATGTCCACAGTTGCTTCTTTTGACATCAACATTAGTTTGTAGCCTCATTTTCAGCAGTGCAATCTCTTCTTCATCTCGATTGATCCTTCTCAATAAACCAGGAATAATTCTTCTTGACCTTGCGCACACTGGAGGATCATGCCATCTAACAAAACCACACCTTTGACCTCCCTACACCAAAAGCCCATAATTGCATATAATTTTGAATTCATTTGCCTTACTTAACAGACATTGTGCCTTAAAATAATACTTAACAAAATGTATTGCTCGAAGAAAAAACAATACATTCACACTCAGATTTTCGAACAAAAAAATAAATAAATTGTTTCAACTGCAATAAGAACCCTTAACTATAATGAAAGCACTCACATTTTCAATAGAACATTGCCAATATCTTCTACCGGGATTATCATTCGTCCATGATGTTTGAAGCTTCAGACGTTGCCCACACTCACAATTTGGAATGGAAACCAACTCACCATAGATGTATTCCTGCATTCTTGAAGATGAAGAGCTCTCACTGCTATATCTTCTAGACATCTCGCTGCTAATTCGCTGGAAGGAAGAGGAAGATGAATTCGGATGAGGGCTTCGGATGAGGAAGATGAATTCGCTACTTCTAGGGCTTCGTTGTGTATTTATTCCCGTATATATGGTGGAATAAAGAGTACAAATACGCATAGTAAGTAAAAGTACCAATATGTCTCTGAAATTGACGCTGACTTAACCACCCATTGACAAAAGGACCTCAATTGGAAAAAAAATTAATAAATAAGTGATTAAATTGTTCAAATTAAAAGACGGGGATCAAATCTGAAAAATTATCATACTCGGTGGCCATTGCTGGAATTAACTATAGTGATAATGTATAATATTGTAATGCACAAATATAGGGCATTTAGATGAACTGAAACACTCGCCGGAGTCTCTATTGCCATGGCTACCGAAATCTCAATCAACCCGGAACCGATCCAATCCTTCTTCTCCAAGCTCGAGGCTCGTAAAGCTCTACTATCTACCATCGCCGACATCCACAAAACCCTAACATCCCATTTCTCCGCCGTCGACCGAGCTCTCTCCCGAAAATCCGAAACCCTCGACGCTCGGTTCAGCTCCTTGCGGCAGAATACCAATAATGCCCTCACCGACCTCAGGAATCGCGAGGATGGCTTCCCGGAACGCGAGATTTCCATCGCAGCCCGGGTCGAGGTGCTCAAGGCGGCGGCGATTGCGGAGATCGAGAGCCCCGATACGGCGGGGAATTTGAAGGAGAAGAGCTTGCCGGAGATGATGAGATTCTACTGCAGAAGAATGGACGCCAGTGGGCTCATGAAGTTTCTTTTCCAGAACCGGAGGGATTCCGCTGCTTTGCGATCTGAGATTCCTAATGCTGTCAAAGAATCAGTCGACGCCATGAGGTGTTTCATCTTTGCATTTATTCAATTGGTTCATTTGGTTGGAATGTTGGATATGGGAAATGTCTATAATTATGATAGGCTTGTTAAAATGCTTTGAAACATGGAAGATATCTTTTGCTCTCTGATTGTTGTCTTCAGTTAATGTTATGGTACTTTCAACAGAAGGATTAGTTTCCATCTAATTATGATTATTCATAAGGAAAATGATTTAGATGATAGGCATTTAAAATGAAAATTAAGTCTTTTGTTTAGTAGGAAATTAAGCTTGATGTTGAGAGTTGGGAACATTGAATTCCATAGTGCCATGGATAGCCCCCTGATACTTGTGGGGAAACAATTTATACTTTTGATACTTCTTCACCTTACTTGTATATAGACATTACCAACGTGGTACTTTCTTAAAGCTATTGAAACGAACCATAAGTTCCTCAATGCCATTCGAGTGAGCTTCTCTGCACGAAAAGAACAAAAAGTCTCAATTAGTGTAGTGTGCATCTCTGCATCCCTTTCAAACTTATTCTGTTCCTTCTCCAAGGAACTGCAGCTAGCAGGTTGGAATTTATCCCCATATTATGTGAATAGATAGGATTTGACAATCAACACAATATGTCATGCTTGGTATGTGAATTTGTTTTTATATCCTTACATGAAATTTCTTTTTGTTATTTCCTTTCGAAGTTTTTGTTTTTGGGTGGGGAGAAGGAAGTATTGGGTTATTTTGGGGAGTTCAGATCTTGTACAGCTGACGTTTGGGTAACTTTCAGGTTGGTTTTGGATGCTGCTGAGGACTATGTGAGGATGAAGGTAGAGGGGAAGTCTGGAATGGCAGATAGGAGGCGAGCATGTGGCATGTTAATTCAGTCTGTGGTACCAATCAAGGAGGGAGGTGGTGTTGTGGCGAAGACTTTAAAGGAAAAGGCAGCAGGTGTTCTAGAGAAGTGGAAAGGTGTTCTTAGAAGTGGTGGGGAGAGGTGCGGCGGAATCAGGCCAAATGAAGCATCAATGTTTTTGCAGTTAGTGGTTGGCTTTGGACTAAAGCAGCAGTTTGAGGAGGATTTCTTAAGGAAACTGATAGTGCAATTTGCCTCTAGGAGAGATATGCCAAGACTTACTATTGCTTTAGGTTTTGGGAACAAGATTGCAGGTGGGCTTCTCATGAACTCTATTCATGTCCAAAAAACAATGGTGGAAAATTTGATCTAATGCTTAAAAAAGGAAAAGGGAGATTTAGAAAAAAAAAAAAAAAGACAAAAAATTCTTGCAGCTTTAATTTTCTTGTGCTTCTCATCTTTAGTTTATGTTTGTTGATGTATTGAAGTTGGTTTTCCTGTTCAGATATTATAGATCAGCTTGTGAAGAGTGGCAAGGAGCTTGAGGCAATATATTTTGCTTCTGAGTCTGGATTAACTGAACAGTATCCTCCAGTTTCACTTCTTAAGTCAGCTCTAAGGACCTGCAAAAGAAATGCTAAAGACACATCAAAGAGGGGCAATTTTAGTGGAGCTGCAGTGGTGCGTTTGTTGTTTTCCTTCATCCTACTCTGTTTCCTTAAGTTTGCTGTTTGTTGATTCTTAACTGAATGTTTGGGTAGCACCAAAGAACAAAGATTTTCAAATATCTAACAGGAACTAATCCATTGCCACAATTACACACTTAAACTTTTCATTTTTTCCTTCGAGAGTAGGGTACAGCCGGAGAGGTGAGAGGGTAGCTATTAATTTCAGGTGATGTCATTTTACAGAAAAGTCGTGTTAAAAAAGGAATTATTACTATCCTTTGCTTTAAAAACTTCTACAGATATTCATATTTTTTTGGGTACATTTCAGGAAAATGGGGGTCGCGCCTGAAATCTCTTACCTATTTCGATTTGGCATCATTCATATTTCTATTTTAAATCTGCTTCAGCATTCTTTTCTCGACCTTTTTGTTTATTTGCTTGCTATGTTCCTGGTTTGATTTGAGTGATTGGTCTTTTAGGAAAGGGCGAACAAATTGGAGTTGGATGCCACTAGGGCAATCATGCAATGTGTGGAAGACCTCAAGCTTGAAACCCAGTTTCCTTTAGATGGACTGAAAAAACGGGTAGAGCAACTTGAGAATGTCAAGTCAGGAAAGAGAAAGAGCTCCTCTGTATCTGCAAGCAAGCCCCCAAAGAAACGGGCGCTTGGAGGTGGAGGTGGAGAACGAGAACGAGAAAGAGGCGGAGGAGGAGGCGGTGATGGTGGTAGACGCAGTGCCCCTTCATCCTCCCGGCCACCCAAATCTGGAAGGTTTTCTGGTGCTTCAGCCCCTGCCTACCCTAGAAATCCTCGAGCACATTTGCCCCCACCACACCTGTCCAGATATTCCGGACCATATGGTTATCCAAACCACCAACCCATATACGAAGGGCATGTCCCCCCCTCTGCATATGGACCACTATATAATGAAACTCGTGCACAGAGCCACGCAGCCCACGCTGCATATTCTCAACAGTATGGATATTCTACTCCCGATGTCGCAACCGGTCCACCAAGGGGTGCTCCACATTACGCAGAAGGAGCACAAGCACCAGGAACCTATGAACAGTATGGGTATTCTGCTCCGGATGCCACAACCGGTGCACTACACACTGGTCCACACTATGTAGCGCAAGCGCAGATAAACTACGGGGGAAGTCCAGCTGCACCTTCTCAACAACAATACATGTATTCTCCTCAGGACGCACCAGGCGTGGCTAGTCATGAAGCAGCACCAGGATCGTATGGAGGGCCGAGTGATTATGCTACATATGATTATAGTGCTGCGGCCGCTGCAGCTGCAGGTGCAACTGCAACTGCAGCTGCATACCCCCCAAGTTCATACCAAACACAGTAGTCTAGAGTACACAGGGCCAAGATGATATTTAGCTACTTGTGTTCTGCTGCTAATGTTCTGCTGTTCCATAAAGTGCCCCATGTCTTTTAACTTATGAAATACTATTTTGCTTTATATAAAATGTTTGCAAAGATTACTATTTTGCCTCAAGAAAGGTCAAAGAATATGAATTCATTTATTGTTAGCAAAGATTATGGGTGTTTGATAAATAGCTGTTAAATGATTGGGCTAGTGAATTTGACTAGTTGATAGTATTTGTAGAAAAGTGTTTGGGCTAGTGAATTTGACTAGTTGATAGTATTTGTAGAAAAGTGTTTGGTAAATTAGCTGATAGTTGATTACGTAAAAAGGTTAATTAATTAAATACTTGTATTAATTGTTTAATTAATCAAACAGTTAATATTGGTTAAATAAATTAAAATCGTACACTAAAGTGTCATTCCACACCATGAACCATTTCTGATTATTCATGCCCCACCATGATCTTTAATAAGTAATATTTAGAGCCCTGAACCATAATTTTTTTTTCGTCTATAACTTTTTACAGGTTACCGGTAATAATATTGCTGACATGGAATTTTTAATTAGTTTTTTTTTTTTTGGTATTTTTCTTCTGCCGCCTTCGTATTATAATTTCTTTCGTATTTTTCTTTTTTCCTAAACATATTGGCCTGCTTTACGTTTTTCGCTTTTCGTTTCTCCGATACTAAACCCCACAGAGCAGGCTTGCTCTATATAAACTAATAAAAAATTTCATGTCAGTAATATTATTACCAGTAATCTGTAAAAAGTTTTAGACGGAAAAAAATTTTTATGGTTTATGGCTCTAAATATCACTTATTAAAGATCATGGTGCGGCATGAATAATCAGGAATGGTTCATGGTGCGGCATGAATAATCAGGAATGGTTCATGGTGCGGGATGGCACTTTAGCCAAAATTGATTGATAAGTTCAAAATTGATTGATACGTTAATTATTATTAAAGGAGTTAAAATTATCTAAAATTGATTGATAAGTTAACTATCAAAGGGAGGATATAAGTATTAGATAAACATTTATTTTTTTTTTCCCTCTCGCTAGGATTTTCTCTCCATCACCTCCCTTCTCGTCTAGGGTTTCTGGTTTTCTTGCCTTCCGAACTGCACCGATTACTGCAGCAGTTTCCGGCAGAAGAGGAGAGCGACATAACAGCGATGGCATCGTCAAGCAGTAGTGGAGTTGTAGGCCTATCAATGAGGTGGGCGGACATGGTTCTGGAGGATGAGGACGTCGGTGTCGAGGCGGCGCCGATGGACAACATAGCAGCAGCTGCAGTTGCGGCATTGTGGACTCTGATTGGTCGGTTTTTGACGCAACGGTTCATCAAACTTGAGTATATGCGACAGGTTATGGCTTCGGCCTGGAAGCTGGTGAAGGTTGTGCATATCGCGGAGCTACAACCTAATATCTTCCAGTTCATGTTTCATCACAAAACGGACATCCGGAGAGTTCTGGACGAGGGGCCGTGGTCCTTTGAGAACAGTACGTTGGTTTGTAGAGAGTTGAACGACGGCCAATTACCAGGGGATGTCATCCTCGACACGGTCGATCTATGGGTCCAGGTTTATGATTTGCCAATTGGCTATAATACAGTACCAGTGCTAGAGCATATATGGAATTTTATGGGGATTTTTCTCAAGTGTGATGAGCGACAATTTGGGGGGGGGGGGGGGGGGTGCTCTTAAAACTTTCTATCGTATCCGTGTTTCTATCCCCATTGATAAGCCACTCAAGAGACGGATGAAGCTTATTCGTCGTGACAAATCATGGGGGGGGGGGGGGGTAGGTAAATTTCAAATACGAACTGTTGCATACCTTTTGCTTTTTCTGTGGTTTGTTAGGGCATTCGGACAAGTTTTGTCTTAAAGCTCGGGACTCGGCGTTACCACCCGACCATTACCCTTTCGGAGTATGGATGCGTGCCGGACAGGCGAGGAGACCAAGACCAATCGGGGACCCTTGGTTGCTATCGTTGGAGGACCCGGTGTAGCGGGTGGAGTCTGAGGTACGTCCGGCAGTGGCAACATGCATGGCGGAAGGTGACACAGTGCATGCCACGGATGAGGATGATGGCGTCACGACGCTAGCAAAACGGCGTCGTCAAGATGAAGGGAACGACGGTATGGGGGGTGTGGCCACAGTTTCGGATGTTAACATGATTGATCATTCAAAAAACTTGCTTCAGGCGGGTTCTGGTCTCCAGACCCACCCATCACAATGAGTACTCTAAGTTGGAACTGTCGTCGCTTGGGCAATCCACGGACAGTTCATGAAGTTGTGGACCTGGTGTCCCGGAAGAAGCCTGATTTTGTATTTCTTATAGAGACCAAGGTGGGGCGAATACATGCTGAACTTGTTCGTGTCAAGCTTGGTTATGAAGGACTTTTCTATGTTGATTGTGTTGGTCTGAGCGGCGGTTTAGCGTTACTTTGGAAGAAGAATAATACAACAAGATTACTGAGTAAGTCAAGGACTCATATTGATGTGGAAGTTAATATTAGTGGTTTCCCGAACTGGAGGATGACTTGTTATTTTGGTTTCCCAGAGTGTATAAGGCGGATGGAGTCGTGTGATTTATTAAAATCGTTGGCAACACGGTTTGAGTTACCCTGGATCGTGATTGGTGACTTTAATGATCTCTTGTTCCAATATGAGAAGAAGGGGGGCAATCCGCATCAGAATAATCTCCTACGCGGATTTGGGGAGACTATTGAGCAGTGTGGTTTGTCCCAGCTATACCTATGAGTGGTTATCAGTTCACTTGGGAAGCAGGCAAAGGCACCCCTAGATGGATCGAGGAGAAGTTGGATAAAGTGTTTGCTACCAATGAGTGGCGGGATATTGTTAATGGGGCCACGGTTTCCAACCTGTTAACAAGGAAGTCAGATCACTCGACTATCTATATGGCGATCCGACATTTTGGGCCAGGGGAGGAGGAAGAAAGATGTTTCGTTTTGAGATGGCTTGGCTATATGATGAAGGGTGCAAGACAGTAGTGGCTGAATCATGGGAGGGGGGAAGGAGTGGAGGTACACAGAATTGTATTGAACATTGCGGGAATCGGCTGACCCGATGGGGTGGTGACTGCTACCACAGGTTTGGTGAAAAAATTGAGCAGCTCCGGATGGAACAGCAACGGCTCAGGGGATGCACTGATCCAGCTTCCCTAGCTGAGTTCAACCGCTTAGAGGAAGCATTATGCCGTGTGGAAGCTCAGGATGATGTATACTGGAGGCAGCACTGGCTCAAGGATGCTGATGCGAACACGAAATTCTACCACAGGTATGCCTCTCACCGAAAAAGAAAGAATATTGTGGAGAGTGGGTGGAAGGGGAAGATATGACGAGTGTGGTTTTGGAATATTTTAAGGAAATCTTTGCCTCTAGTAATCCTATGAATGGTGATCTTTTATTTGATAATGTTTCCCCACGAGTCACTCAGGCACAAAATGAATCGCTAGTACGACCTTTTGAAATAGATGAAGTGAAAGATGCTCTCTTTGCAATGTTTCCTGATAAGGCACCAGGCTCAGATGGTATGAATCCAGATTTTTACCAGAATTTTTGGGATATTGTGGGTGGAGATGTCTCAAATTTTATTGTCAATTGTCTGAAAACGTGCTCTTTCCCCCTGGTCTTAATAATACTGATGTGGTGTTGATCCCAAAGAAAGATGCCCATGAGCTAGTCTATGATCTTAGACCGATTGCACTCAGTAATGTGATTTATAGGGTTATGGTCAAAATGATTACACACAGAATGAAACCTTTAATGGACAATATTATATCTGAGTCACAGAGTGCATTTATACCTGGTAGACTGATTACTGATAATATCTTGGTGGCCTCGGAAGTAGGACATTATTTGAACAGGAAACAGTGTGGGGCTGTTGGTTGGAGTGCCCTTAAATTGGATATGGCAAAGGCCTATGATCATATGGAAGTGGTCTTTTTTTTGCGTGGTATGCTTGTGGCTCTGGGTTTTAATGACAAATGGATTGATCTTATTATGATGTGTGTCACTACAGTATCGTACAACTTTCTGGTGAATGGATCGCGTAGTGACTCAATTATGCCAACTCGAGGTTTAAGGCAGAGCGATCCGTTATCTCCCTATCTATTTATTATTTTTGCTGAAGGCCTTTCTTTGTTATTACAGCAAGCACAGGTGTAACACCCCGTGTTACGGCCTCTAAAACCAATTAGTTAATTAATCAATAGCCCAAGAGAAAGAATAAATTATAATGATTAATTAGGGAAAAAGGCCCACCATAGTCCGTTGGCCCTCATATCTAAACCCAACCCCTAATCCCAATAGGATTAGGCTCTAAATAAGATCCCTAGATCTATAAATAGGGAACTTAGGAGGCACCTAGAATCCCCACCACAATAATCTCTCACCACCCAAAGAGCTCCAAGAATTCCCCTAGGAGAAATCAAGAAATCAAGAAAGCTTAAAGAAAGATCCTTCATAGCCAAGGAATTAATTAAGGCTAAGAGGTAACCCATGTCTCAACAAAACCTATTTTCATAGCTATGATTCCCCCTTAGGGTTTCCCCCATATTATTGTGATTGGCGAGATATGATGATGATTATTAATGTTTGATGTGATGATCCCATGAGGGATCTTGATAATCTTGGTATTGGGAGATTCTTGATAATTATGGTGTTCTTGATGATTATACGGAATCCTTGATGATTAGGTGTTGTTCTTAATGATTGTGTGATGCTCTTGATGTTTATGTGCTATTCTTACCGAATCTTGCAATTAGAAGACGAATCGTATTCTTGTTGATATAAAAGTGATTAGAACCCTAGGTTGTATCGTATGATATTATTCTTGGTTTATCGGGTGGGGAAATCGCATGTTTGGGTGTTGATTATGTCTAGAAAAGCATGATAGGTTATGTGCCGTTCGTTCTCGTATTTGATCCGTTAATTGTCTACGTGTGTCGTTAATTGCGTTGTAAGGTGTCTAAGCATGGTTTCGGGTTCCACAATGGTTCCCGGGGCGCAAAAGTGATGAAAAGAGTCAGTGGGGGGTAGGGGACCCGCCACCTACCTACGGCCGTGAAACACCGCCCGGCAGCGGGTAGCCGGCGGGCGGGCAGCTGCCCGCCGGCGACCCGCTGCCCGG